AAAGCTTGCTTTGCTTGTGTATGGTCACAAATGTCAGGTGTGTGTGTTGCACTATTGATAATGTCCTTCCATGGGCATCCCAGGCAGCTTCGGGAGCTGCAGTGCTCTCACCAAACTCACAGCTCTCTCTCAGTCACTGAAGCAGTCATGTATGATGTGGGGTGTTGTGGAGTTTATCCTTGTATTGCATTACACCTTCCTGTTCTCACTGGGCCAGCTACTGGGATTTCAGTCCTCATCCCAGTGAGGATGAAGCAGAGCATGATCCTCTTAGGTCAGTGGTATCTCTTCTCTCTCAGGATAGGCAGCAGTTTAGGCCAGGCGTGTGGACCTGTTACACCTATGTTTCATGCAGGACCTTGTTTGGTAGCTAACCACCCAGGAGGGCAAAGTGAGGAGGACGGCATGTGCCTTGCTGCTCCTTCTCAGCAACGTTCAGTCTGGATTTGGGCACTCCCTGTGGGCCTCGTATAGGGTGCTCAGAAATGCTGATGGGCCTGTAGGTGCCTCAGGCACATCTTGCCTCAGGTTGGACTGTAGAGAACTGCAATTTTGAAGACTGTAATTTGTCCATGATCCTCCCTGAGGGTCTGCTGCCTCTTTACAGATCTTTCTGGCCCAAAAAGTCTTTCTCAGCCTCAGCTCTTTGGGTGCACTTGAGCACAGGGTTTGCATACCTTTCCCTTCAGGATGTTGATGAGCAGACAGATAATTGATGAGGCATTCGTTAAGCCCTCAGGCACTGCTGGGTGGTGTTTTGAGGCTCTTCATAAGCAGGCACTTTCATGAGCGCAGCCTGGCCTGTGGGTCTTCCAGTCTTACAGGGCAGCAGCAGACATGGTGGAAGAGCCCATCATCCCTTGGACTGATGCCCTCTATAATGGAGATCACCTTCTTGACAAAATGGAGCTTTTCCATGTACGAGGAAAAAAGATCCTTGCAGAAGCTTCTGTTATTCTCACCACATGTTCAACAACCCAAAGAAGGGACAGTCTGATTCTTGTCTTTCCTAACTGCTTCTTGTGCTCTACACCATGCCTCCACCTTCACATATCTGTATGAACATCTGTATCCTTACCTACCCTTTAGGAATGGATTGCATGTTTTTGTTTTCCAGTACAGCTTGCCAGCCATTTGAACTTTATCCCTTGCTGGAGAATACAATTCAGTTTCTGGGCTCCTGTATGGCTGTGGCCTGATTGCCGGGCTTGTCTCTGCTGAGGTGCTGTTCATTGCAGGCCATTGCCTTCCCTCTTGGCTCTCCTTCTGTCCTCTGACACTGATGGGCCTTGTCTCTTCATCATGTTGGCTTTGCTGAAAATATTGGGTGTTTTCAGTGAAGTGCCTGCATCTTCTCACGTTTGCTTCAGTTGCTTCCACTGTATGTGTATCTCAGGGCACTCAGTTTGGAGATTGCTGGAATTCTGTGACATAGTTTCTGTAGCTTATCAAAAGATTTTGTGATTAGAAATTTTTCTACCTAACAAAACTTTTTTTCTTGGCCGCAACTATATTGAAAGATGTTTATGGAGGGAGAGATCAAATTCACATTTCTGCTACTCGTGTAGCTATCAACTACACTGGAAACATTCATGCTGGTCCTCTTATTTAATTGCTCCCAGCAGTGCACCATGGAGATGAGGAGCTAAGAGGGCTCATTTCTTCAGAGCCTACTCTCCATTCCCAGCTACTGACTCAGCCAATGTACTTGATATCTCTGTAATTTCCTTTCTCATTAAAAAACAGAAACCAAGAACAAAAACAGACACAAACAAACAAATCACAAAACAAAACAGGTCTAGAAAAAGCCAATTCTATATAAGACAGTAAATACTGCCCTTCTTATATTAACTCTGTATATTAACAGAGATAAACTAACTCTGGAACTGTCATAATATGAATTTCTCATTTAAAGTGTCACCTAGTGGCTGGTTGGAAGTTCAGCACTCTGAAATAAGCATTTACTACCATTACATGTTTTAAGCAGACATAAATGCTAAATCCCCATGCTCATGGATAATAATTGATAAAAATGCATTTCATATTCTGTTGATCTTGTTAAAATCCCCTTGTCATGTGTTTAATTTAAGCCCTAAAACTCATACTGAACCACTGCGTGACCAAAGGGTCAGGAACATATTATTTCTACTCTATTATTTCTTTTTCTGATGAGTAGAATGGAAATTAATTGCTAAAAAGTTAATTGCCAGTGCTCCCAGCAGTGAAATTTTCCCTGAACAAAATAATTAAACCTTGTTTATGCTAATAGGTTCCTTGTGCATCTGCGGGGTGGCTTCAGGCAGAATCCTTGTTACAAAAAGATGATTGTGCATCTGAGGATGCGGTCAGTTCAGAGCTACTGGAAAATGTGTCTTACATAACACATAAGAAAAATATTAGCAGTTTCAGGATCGCTGTCATCTATAGTTCTCAAAGGATATTGCAAAGGATGTTAATTAATATAACGTACTTGTAGTGTGAGCCTGGAAATTTACAATGAAATTCTCCATTAACATGAAATCGTGTAGTTTATAAGCTGCAGATGTTACATGAATGAAAAAAAAATCTATATTTTTACCTGGAGAAACCCATTCTGATATATATTTTGGTTTTATTTCTTGCTTCATTTTTCTGGGTGGTCATTTTTAACTTTTTTTCCAAAGAGCTAAGCATTTGTACATTAGGAAGACATGCAGAAACTGCACGGGCTTAGCATCTCTGAAATTGAGGCTAGATATGTTGCCTTGGTCACTCAAAATGGACAACTCTATTTGAAAATTCAATTGTGTTTTGCCCAGGATAACTTGGTGATCTGAGGATCCCAGGCTGGAAGAGCTCAATCTGCTGATTGTCATGCTTTACTCATCAAGTCATGAACTTCATCAGTTGTGATAAGTGACACTGTAGAGTAATTAGGTGTGTGCTTGGTTTCCTTTCTGCTGCTGACACGCACTGCTGTAATACCTAGCACTTGCTGGTGAAGATGTTTAAGCAAGGATATATCAGAGGCTAAGAATGAATCATGTTATAGGAAAGCTAATACAAAATCTGGTTATTACTCTTCTCTAGCTCTAGACCACTATACACAGGTCTTTCAGTTTTGTTTTTGTTTTTGTTTTTGCTAGAGAAAGACTGCCTTCAGCACATTATGCAACCTGTACTTCAGCTGCCTATTTCATCTTCAGCCAAGGTGGTGATGAAGCAAACTTTAGAAAAGTCTTTACTTCAGACCCCTGATCTGTACAAGGGGAGGAATACAGTGTCCTGGTACAGCTAAGATTGAGGTCTTCCCACGCTAATAACATTTCCCTGAAGCTTGCAATGCAAAGATACAGCTGCCCAATGGATCCTCTCTTGGTTAAAAAACTGCATTAAAAAACATAAGCTCTGAGCTACGGGTGTCAGGCAGATGAGTTGGGAGAAGCAAAGAGGAGACTCAGCCCTGCAAAGCTATGCAGTGGAGAGGGACAGACACTGCAGCAGCTAAAAAGTACCTCTCAGCAGAGCTGCAAAATGCGTGTGCTTCATATTGCAAGATGGCTTAAAGAAATCTGTTAATCAATGCCACTATATAGTATGACAGTGTTGCAAGAGAAGATAAGTCTGTCAATAGGCTTAACAGCCTTGATTCTGTCCCTTTAAATGCTATTGTTAGTAAATACCTTAATGAAGGGAACTCCCATCAGAAAAAAAAAAAAAAAAAAAAAAAAAAAAAAAAA